ACCTTAGAGAAGAAAGACAACACCTGGTGTATGTTTATCCCCATATTTATCACTCTCTACGCTTGTTTACTTATTTGCTTTACGCACTAAAAATTAAGCTCCTAGAAGTCATCTGTCTTTCATTTCTACATTCTTGGTTCCTAACAGTCCACAGAATCAAGGAGTGCTTAATGTATAGTTGCTAAAATAGTAAAGTCATTAGATTTTAGTGAGAGTGGAAATCAGAACCCATAATATTCTCTATTATACCTAGGTTTCTTTAAACACATCAGCTAAGGCCTCAGATATTATTACTACACCTCACGACTGAAGAAAGTAACAAAAATTATTCATAAAAAGGCTCAAATACTTTTCATTTATTGTTTGTTTATACTAGCCACTAACATTGGTTGTTTACTATGTTTCTAGTGCTTGCACACACATACCTCCCCATTTAATCCTCACAACGACCCTGATGTAAGACTAGTACTAACTATTTTGACAGACAAAGGCAAGGCACAGAGAAATTATCTTGCCCAATGTCCAGAGATGGTAAGACTGGTTCCAGAATTCATGTTCTTAACCACTACAATACAAAGCTCATTACCTTTTACATCACGAAAACTGTGCTTCAAAAGATATATTACTATTGTTTTAAAATCATAAGGGAATGTTACTAAATACAACCTAAATTTTAAAAGTTATAACTATGCACTAACAGACCATCCCTCCCCGAAACTTAGCTTTCCAATCATATTTCAATTACAAAATTTACAAATAGGATTTATAATAGAAGTTTCAAAGTTCATCTTTACTTATAGTTAAGGTAATACAGAAAGATTTCTTTGTACATTACTACTACAAACAGTCATTTCTTAAATTATTACAGAATTGTAACTAATAATTTTTGAATCAAATTTTGTGATAATGGATACACAAAAATAAAGAAGCCATAGCATCAATTAATTCACTGTAACTTTTCAGCATTAAGATATTTCTGAGTTATTTAAAATTTTTTTTAAAAATTTTTTTTAAGTTTTGTTTTTTCTTATTGATTTCTTTTCTGAATTCAGGTATTTTGGTTTTAGTGTAATGTACTGTCATCTTCTAGATATAAGAGATGATATGACAAATTTCCATAAAAACATTCTTCTCTTATTTTCTACTGCTAAATAATGGGATAATTTAGCAAGATCATTTGCAAGTTTTATTAAAATATCAATAATGAATTGTTCCATTTTAGTTTAGAACATATTAATACAGTTGTTCCTAATACATTTCCTCTATTTCTTATGATTGAGGAAACTAATAGGTATTACCGAAAGAGTTGTAGAAACCACAAATGAAGCAATAGAGGTAAATATCTATTATTATCATGATTTTCAAACAACGAAACACAAAAAAAGTTATTGCAAAGAAATAAAATGTAATGAACTGCTATAATGAATACCAATAGTATCATCAGATTCTAAAATCTCTTTTTATCTCCCAGAAGAGTCTGTTAACTATATTATATGCACACAGGTACTCAAAATGCTACTACTAATAAAACATTTTTGAGATTCTGGCATGCTTCCTGGTAACAGGACACAGACAGAACTGTAAGTTTATCAAACATAAATGATTAGTATCTATCAATCTCAAGATAACAAATCAGAAAAGAAAGGCATGAGAATTCGGGAATATGAGAACTTAGTCACTTCTGGTGCCAAGACTTGGGGTCCTGAGAGGCGGGTGCCTCACTCTTTGTCCAGAGTAGAACAAAGAAACACAATGTTGGTTAATAGATACTGTGGTATCACTTAAAATTTTTTCATTTATTTCTGGGATGTTAGTTTCTGCCATGCTCTTCTTTGCCTCTTTAAATAAGCAACCAAAAAAATCTATCTTATTATTAGCCATTGGTCTAAAATTAATGATAGCTTAAATATCTGAAAATAAACCAACTTCCCTAAGTATAGCAATGTTGCACTTTCACCTAAAACTAAATATTAACATGTCTGGTTTTCTTCAGTTCCTTTTACATTCCACAGATAATCAGCTGACTCAGGAGAACAGGTATTTACCATTTAATATAGAAACTGTTTGACTTGAAAAGAATATTCAGTTTCCTGCTTTAAATACAGTATCCACAGAATATGGTATTCAAAGTATCATTTGGGTAAGTTATTACCAAAAAAGTTTTACCAGCTGTTCCTCAACATGAATCACTACTAGGAGGAGTATACCAAGTACCAATTTTCTCTAAGGAAAACCAATTTCCAGCAATTTAGTTTAGAATGAAAAGATATGGGTAGAAATAAAAAAGTAAACAATGAAAGAGATATATTTACTGTTATTCACAACATAGCAAAGAAAAAAATTGTAAGGTACACACCTCAAAAAGAAAAAAAGGAGGACTGGGCCAAAGACAAAATATTGGCATGCTGGAATTTTTTTTTTTTTAAACTAAAATACCTGTATAAGAGCAAGGAGCAATGAATGAGGAAGGGGCACTATACATTTAACCCTCACTGTCAATATACAGTGAGTTCACCTCAGCATAAATCAAAATCACAAGAAACTGGCCCAAATGAACTAGAAGACTTCCAGCAACTAAAAAACTGTACTCATATTTAATAAGCACCATTTACCTCTATGTAGTTTACGTAGTTCTTGATAATCTGATTTATATGGAAACTTCCATGTGAAAGAATAACATTTAAATATTATTATAAATGCATAGTGTAGATGTCAATTAGATGATAAGTTTGATTATTCTTGAATTTTAAAAGAGTTTCATGCTTTGTTCAAATGTAGCTTATTATTAAAATTCCCACCTCCCACACTCCAAGTTAGTACATAATATTAGGTAATATTTACATCAAATTTACAGTCTTTTTCATTTAAAGGAATATCCCTACATCTTGCTATAAGATATTAATTTACACTCTTTTTCATTTAAAGGATTATCCCTACATCTTGCTATAAGATATTAATTTAAATGATTGCTCTTAAACTTCATTATACCCAGAAACACAGCTGAGAGTCAAATAAGCTTTGTAAAGGAATCTGGCATTTTCATTAATTCACTCAAACTCAGATCTTTGAAATACATACTGCAGAAATGCTGAGGGTGGTCCTCAGTCATTTGGGGGTACATTCTTGTGAAGTGTCTACTGGGTGAGAACTGACATAACTGTGTATCATTTAAAAGAAACTTAAGACTTGTATTAAGAAAACAAAACCTACATATTATGCAACATGACTTTTTTTAATGCTTCTGCTATAACAAAAAATCAGTTATAGAAACCATTTTTATATTTCAATCACAAACACTGCTCTTAAAACACAATCTATAATCTGATGTGTGGTCTGAGAAACATATATGAGACTATGCTTAGTCTATTTCTCTGGCAAAAAGCTGAAAATAAGACAACAGTTTTACTTTGTCTTAAACATTCTGGCAAGGGGAAAAAAAGCCAGATCAAAGTAAGATGAGTCAAAATTGGCAATAAATCCACGATGGAAGAAGAGTGGCACTAAAATGAAATTTCAGAACATACTGCTTTCTATATATGTACATGTGATCTATTTGAAGACAAGTATTTACAAAGATTCCAGAAAGCTATAAACCAACTGATAACCTAGGCTTTCAATCTTTATTCTGTCCCCATAATATTTAGTTATCAGTAGATTCGGCAAAATATTTAAAATATCTAAAGTGATTTTATGTCCTACTTATGCTATTCAGTGTCTGTACTTATAGGTATTATAAGTGACATTATGTAGAATATTACTTATAATATTTTCCAGAATAACAACTTTGATTTTAAATAAAATGGAGCATTTGGGCTTTACAAACATGTTTTTTTTCAATTTCTAAATTTTCCTTTTTAGGAAGTCATTGATAGAGACTGAATTCAAAGTAAAAATGTCAACTTCTGTAAATATTAACAAAAAAGATTGCTATAAAGATATTTGAAGTAAATACTGTTCTAGACAAATATAATAATCAAGTAGCACTTGACACTGACTAACACTGAACTTCCTTTAAAACCACAGAAGCTTCTATTGCAGCAGCTACAGCACAAAACCTTTCACAGAGGCTGAATTAATAAGGATATGGTATAGGATAAAGAAGAAAAAATGAACTTAAATCAATATAGTTTAAAATTTAAAGTTAACAAGTAAACTATATCAGAAAATCAACTTCCAGGAGAATATACAGTAATTACCACAGCTATAATAAAGTTCTTCCTTTAAGAATGGAAAACGACAGAATAATTCTTAACAATACACCAGTAGTAAAAAACAAATCAATTATTCACATTCTAAGAGGTTTGGCGGGTGGGGGATGGATGAGGGTAAGGGTGTGAAAGCTTACAAAACTGAAAATGCAAAATAAAATGGATTCAAATTAAGATTTTATGATAACAGAAAAAATTTAAAGAAGAAAGTTTCCCTTGAGGGAAGAATATTTTCCATAACTGGTGAAAAAGCACCTATGAGTCTGTGCTGTCAACTGTCACAATGGAGGGAGGTTTGGATTCTTTCAGCAATTGCAGCATAACGAAAGGCATTTCACAGCATAACTTTAGGGAAAATGCTATCTGGCTTAGAATCACACATAAAGCAATTTAAAACTCTTTTAATTATTTATAATACACAAATTTCTCTGGATAGCAGCAGTTGCTCCTGTACTTGTCCTTTTAAAAAATATGAAACAGAAGCAGTAGAGTAGGGAAAAAAAATTTAGAGAAGAATAGAGTAGCAAGGTTAAATAAAAAAGCAAATACTTAAATACATTAAAGAAAAATTAAAATAAGAAAACAGTATAATGCAATTTTCAATTATACTAAGTAAAGTGCACTGCTTACATATTCACTGATAACATTTTCCCTATGTTGAAAACACAAAATCTACTTACAGGTAATTTTGATATTTAAAAAAAAAAAAAAAGACATTCACTATTGTAGCCCTGATAGCTTTCTTCTTTTTATCCATTCAGATGTATTTTATGGAAATATTTAATGACATAATTTTGCTTAATACATTTATTTCTACACAAGACTGAATTTAAAAATCTCTACAACATTTTCAATTACAGTAATGACACATTAATAAATTATAAATTAACAAAATCTTCATATTTGCTGTAAAAAATCATTTATCAAAGGCTAACCTCCAGATTATCTGGAAAATTAAAGATGCAAATTGCTATAAATCTGGCATCCCAATTAAATTCTGATTTTTAAAAATATATAAAATATCTCTCAAATTATTCCAAGTTCCTCTCCAAAAAAAATTATTTTACCCTTTTCACAAGTTATTAAGTTTATAACCTGCTAAACATTTTACCCAAATGTGGGAAAACTGCCTGGAGATGCAAAGCATAATAAAAATAATTACATGAAAAGAGTAAACAAAAAATACCCGTTAAAACAAAGTTATTGTAGCTGGCAGCACTTAAAATTGATAATTTGTATCTTTAAAAAATTTGCATAGCTGCAAGATGATTCATTGCTGATTAATGGTTGAGCAGTTTTATTTAGAATAAACAATATATTTAATAAATTGCAATTCAGTGGACAATTCTATACTTAAATGAAAGGTAATTATGTAACCTGATTTACCCTTTGGACTGCATTCTGATATTAAACCTTTAATTTAAAAATATTAACATATTTTAGCTTTCCTATGTAGAAGTCTAGTTTCCACTCTTGCAGGGAGAAGGGGGAATGGAAGAACTTGAGATCATGGTCTACATTCAGAGAATGTTTTACTGCTTGATTACATTTCTTGGTTTCACATTTAAGACTTTAATTTACAAAAAGTAAATTATGTAGTTTTCAATTTAAGAATACGTGAATGCATAAACATTATGTTGGGGAAAATAAAGAGACCCCAAACTAACAAAATGAAACAAATCAAAACACAACTTGCACAGCTCTAGAGAACTTAATAAAAAGTAAATCAACTTTTAAATCAGTTAACTTTGGCGTATGAATACAAAATGTTTATCAGTATTACCTATGTAGATGACTATTAAGGGATGTGCAGCATTTTCAAAATCCCTGTGTGTCCTTTATATGCATGTTTGGTACACTGAATTCTGTGGGAATTGTCCTTTCTTCAGCAGGACTTTTTTTCTGTATGATTGTCCATCTCTGTATTACCAAGACTCACAGAACTCAGATTTCTGAGTATTTCTACGTTTTTGTTTTTCCAGAGACAGAGCCTCATATTCTCTTGGTTTTTCAAGCATCTTGAAAAGACAAGAAAACCTGTGTAAAAAAAGGTAAATTTAGTTTAAGCAATGGCTCAAAATAATAATACAAATCAAAATCCCATGAACATTGTTATAGTTGCTATAAATTTTCATACCCTTACTATTCCAAAAACTCATAAAATTATGTTCTACAGAAGAATGGAACAAAACACAGAAGGACCAATTAAAGCTTAAAATAATCACACACACACAAAAAAATGAGTTATTCCCTTTCAACAATGGAGACTGCACCAGAGTAAAGAACACATACGCACACATACTTAACTTTTTAATACCTCCCTAAATAACTAAAAACTCCAAAATAAAAATAGTAAACAATTTCTTAACTAATTAAGCCCTCAGATATTCATATATCCCTACTTTGGGTTGATTATTAAACTCTTATGCTGAAGGATATCAGAAAGACTGGGCTTTATTGCTACCTATCACCTTTTATTTATTTTATTTTTTTTTTTTTCAGGGGCATTACCTATCACCTTTTAAAAAAATGTTTTAGCAACACTAAATCTTCAAACCCATACACTTTAAATCTAGGACAGCAAAGAGAAAGAGAAAATTTATAATTTGACAAATAAGAGTAGTCAGAACAGAAGCAAAAATAAGAAAGAGTTAAGATATTCCATGTTTATAAATTTTTAAAAATAACTCAAGACGCATAGAAATAGAATAGGGTTCAGATTTCTATAGGCAGCTGACTAGACAGTTCAACCCACTCCATGTAGTAGGTTCCAACTCAGTTTCTACATACAAAAAAATACAAAGATAATATTAATACTTAACACAAAGAAATGGAAATTCTGTTTAAAACCAACAGAATGTGCATTTTAACTATGAGATAAGACGCATGTTCCATATATCCCATAAACTCACTGTGACACTAAAGGAAAAATTTAGCTGATTAGACCATGAAAAAAAAATTTCATACCATACAATTTCACTTCACACAAAAACTTGTTTATCAACTCTACTATGGGTTAATGTTTGTGTTCCCCCCAAATTCACGTGTTGAAACCTCATCTCCAGTGCAATAGTATTAAGAGGTGGGGACTCTGGGAGGCTTCATAAATGGGATTAGTGTCCTTATAAAAGAGGCTTGAAGGGAGTCTGTTCTTCTGCCACCGACACACATAGAAGGTGCCATAAATGATGAACGAGCCCTCACAAGAAACTGAATTAGCTGGAGCCTTGATCTTGGACTTCCCAGCTTCCAGAAGTGTGAAGAATAAATCTCTGTTGTTTATAAATTATGTGTCCAAGGTATTCTGTTATAGCCACCCAAATGCACTAAGACAGACTCTAAAATGACAAATTTTACCTATAAAAAATTTAAACATATTACTTTGGTGTGTAAACTACAGGTTGAATATCCCATATCCTAAATGTTTGGGAACAGAAATGTTCTGGATTTCAGATTTTTTCAAATTTTGGAATATGTGCAGAATACATACTGACTTGAGCATCCCCAATCCAAAAATCCGAAATCTGAAACATTCCAAAAAGCATTTCCTTTGAGCATCATGTCAGTGCTCAAAAGTTTTGAATCAGTGATGCTTAAAGATAAAAATTTCATTTTATTAGCATTGGTTTTCAGTATGTCTCTTAAAATGCTTCTATAATTTTAGCCATAGTTCTACTTTATTGGCCCAGACACAAGGTGACACTGAAAGCATTCTAAAGCATCCTCCTCTTGGGGCCGGCCCGTGGCTCACTTGGTGCTGATAACACCAAGGCCACTGGTTCAGATCCTATATAGGGATGGCCGGTTGGCTCACTGGCTGAGCGTGGTGCTGACAACAAGCCAAGGGTTGAGATCCCCTTACCAGTCATCTTTTGGAAAAAAAAAAAAAAGCACCCTCCTCTTGAAAAAGTCTTTTTCATAGTGAAATAAAAACATACGTGCACATATACTCAAAATACTACTCTATCACTACACTTCCTTTACCCAGAAATCTTATACCAATTCACATTTTAAATGTGTCAAGGTATGATCTAAGTTCACAGTAAAACATTCAAAAGCTGATAGTCTTTTCTAGTAGAGGCTTTCACATTTGACATGCCCAGCCTTAATATTATGACAGAGGTCTCACTTGCAGTTCTTGTTTCAGTTGCTACGGCTGCTATCAAGTTACCTTAAATCTCCTTTGTCAATACTCTAATCTGCTACTCTTAAATTATCCTCATAAACAGAGCAACAGAATTCCTTGAGTGTGTTTATTACCTGAGGACCAACATCTTCAATTTTAAGAGCAGGAGTTGTTGAAATAAATGCAAATGGGGGAACAGCACAGGACTAGACCTCAGAACACCAACTGCTCTAGTCCCCTGCCTGCAATCTCAAGCCATTCAGAAAAGACTGCTGTCTGTTATGGTCATGAGTCTCTGAAAATAGAGGTTCCAACTCCTTCTGAAACAATTCCAAGATTAGCTAAAATGTTTTACTTTTATGTAAGAATCCAATGCTTTATATGTCATTTCTGCAAGTCTTCCCATAAAAACTTTTCGTATATTTAAAGATAGCAATTAAGTTAACCTTTACTTTTTCAGAGCTAAATGATGCCATTTAATTTACTTAATGAAATATGGAATAAAAGCAATACCCAAGTAAGGTTATCATTCAATTCACTGAACATCCTCAGTTAATGCAGAACCATGAAAAAGCTAAGTCAGCACAGCAAAACTAATTCTTCATTTGGTTTTTTAAAAAAATTTTTTGGCCTACTATATAGACAGACACTTTATTACACACTGAGGATACAAAGGTGAATCATTTAATTGCATGAATGGACCATTACACAAATTTCCGAAGAAAATGTTCCTACCTAATAACAGCAAAATTGCTAAGAACATACTCTTTGAAGCCAGAATGCCTGAGTTCAAATCCCATCTCCACCAACAAACTAGCTATGTGACCTTGACAAGTCAAGTTTCTTAAACTCTATACTTAATTTCTTCATCTGCATATAATAGGGATAGTAATAGTACGGAGCTCAAAGGATTGTTATAAAAAAGAAATGAGTTATCAATAGATGTAAAATGCTTAGAAAATGCCTGGCACATAATAATGCTAAATGATTAGAATTACAGTATATTACATTACTTAAGAACATACCTATAAGGTTGTGGACAAGAGTATGGAATTTGATCCCATTTGCTAACTGCATAACCTTGCACACTTGGTGGAACTTTTTTTTTCCTTAAATCACTTTATTGAGCTATGATTGATATACGAAAGTTGTTTGCATTTAACAGCTTGATGAGTATGGTACAACTTTTTTCTTAAAGTCATGGAACTTAACTACTACGACCTTCAGGTTTCTCACTGGAAAAATGGGATCAAGATATGTACTTCATGGGTTTTTTTTCATTATTAAACAAAAATTAAATAAGTGAATGTGTTCTAAAGTACCAAGAATGTAGCAGTTACTCAACATATGACTCTATCCAGAAATCAATTATGTTGTTTTTAATGTACTTTATAAGTTTCCTATTCAGTAGCCTATCAAAATATCTGGTACACAGGAACGAACACACACACACACACACACACACACACACACACACACACACACACCCAAAGTATCTGGTACATAAGAACACACACACACACGTGCACCTCAATGAATACATGAATGAATATGAATGAATAAAAATGATGGCTGAGAATGTGTAATTCAGGATAATACTGTAAAAAGTAATTAAAACAAAAAAGAGAAAATTACCTATAAAACTGGAATCTGATGCTTAATCTGAAGGGTGCTCAGGGCAAGATCTATTTACTTCAAACCATTCATCTATGCAGCTAGAAAAAAACAAAACAAGAAAAATGAAATGCTTATGTTTATTTATATTATGACAGTCTTAATAAAATGCTCACTTCCTGACTTTAACATATCTGCAGAAAAAAAAATCAGTATTTTTAGTGACCATTAAGAATACATATATAACTAAAAGAATATGTTTATTATATTTTGATTATTCTAAGCCATTAAGGAAAAAAATCTTTGCAAAATTGTGCTATAAAGTACTTTAAAGTTCAAACAGAACAACTATTCTCAAAAGCAATCTAAAGAACTACCTACCACTTTACCAACATTCAAAATTAAATGACAAATTTGGATAGATATGCCTTTTCAGAAAAGTTATTCATTTATGCACATATCAACTTGTTCATGTCACCTATCAATGTAATCAAAACATTGATAAATTTTAAAATTTAATCATTGACAATATTGCATAACATTTAAAATTTTAATCTTTGACAATATTGCATGACATTTTAAAAGACCATATTTATATATGATCATTAAATATTTATTTTTAATTCGATTCCACCCTTCAATACATATACACACAAATAAATATAGCATCATCCATTTGCATTTACAAAATATTTCATGATCTGATTTTATTAGAAGTTAAATATTAGATTGCATATTACTATACTCTCTTTAGATCTGTACTGTTCAGTACAGTAGCCAAGAACCACAGTGGTTATTTAAGTTTAAAATCGCCAACTGATAAAATTATTAAGATTAAATAAAAGAAAAAATCCAGTTCCTCAGTCACACTAGTCATACTTCAAGTGCTCAACAGCAACATGGTTAATGGCTACTCTACTGAATAGCAAAGACATACATTTCCATCACAGTAGAAAGTTCTATTTCATAATACTGTGCAACATAATAAAAATCAAGGTCTTGAAAGGTTAAGCTAACTTATCCAAGAGCTAGTAAGTTACCCAAGCAGGATTCAAACTGCTCAACATTTTCATTGGTGACACATGTCAAATTTACATATGCCACAAAACTAGAAGGTTTAGCTAATATGCTGAAGGGTGAAATTAGTATTTTATCATTCCCATATCCTGACAGGTTGAACGTTTGATAGTGAAAATGACAGATGAAATTAAAAAGAAAAAAGATAAAGTACCTCATCCAAATGTCCTTTCAAATACCTAAAACAGTTTCTGTTGCCATGAAGACTTTTATTCTCTAAATACATCCGCAATGTGGCTTATGACATTATTTTCAGCCTGGTCTCTACCACTTGGCTCTAGAAATCCTTTGGTCTACTCTACTCTTTTTTAAGAATACCTCTTGGGCCGAGCCCGTGGCACACTCGGGAGAGTGTGGGTTCGGATCCTATATAGGGATGGCCGGTGCGCTCATAGTGCTCACTGGCTGAGCGTGGTGAAGCCGGTCTCAAAAAGGACAAAAAGGGCCGGCCCCGTGGCACACTCGGTAGAGTGCGGTGCTTGGGAATGCAGAGGCGCTCCCGCAGAGGGTTCGGATCCCATATAGAGACCAGTCCGCTCACTGGTTGAGCGCGGTGCGGGCGTGACACCAAGGGTTGCGATCCTGTTGCCGGTCGCGGTACGGGCGCGACACCGAGGGTTGCGATCCCGTTACCGGTCATGAAAAAAGACAAAAAGGAAAAAAAAAAAAAAGAATACCTCTTAAAGTATTGAGAACTGAACAAAATACTCCAGATGTGTTAACAATTCACAGTACATCTGAATTATACCTATGTGATCTAAAATGGGTATTTCTTATTTTACAACCATGTAATTTTGTCTCATCATGAGAAAGCAATCATTTAAAATCTCAGGTCCTTTTCACATAAATTGCTATCAGTACATACATGTTCCATTCTAAACCATATAAATTAGTTATTTAAAATATTATATTCCCTTCCTCCAGCTCCAGCAGGAAATCACTATCCAAAATTTAGTGCTTTTTCTTAGCCATTTTCTTACTCTATCACTATCTATGTGTGTATTCTAAAATAAAATATAGTACTGCTTCCATGTTTAAAATTTTATATAAATGCTACCATAAATAGCATTATGCTATTTCTGACTTGCTTTTCTCATAAATGTGTTTTTCTAACTTGCTTTTTTCACTCAATTTGTTTGAGATTTGCAATAAGTAAGGCCCTCATCTTCACACTTTCATTGTATATAGTTTTCCATTATATAAGTATACCATAATTTATATAACCATTCTTTTAATGATGGACATTTTCAGTGATCCTATCAACATTCTTTTAGAAAGAGGCTTGCACCTGAATATAAATTAATTCCATCACTAATCACACTGCTTTGATTGACTGACTTATTTATAATTACAGCAAGACTTTTTCTTTCTTTTTTTTTTTTTTTAAAAGATGACCGGTAAGGGGATCTTAACCCTTGACTTGGTGTTGTCAGCACCACGCTCAGCCAGTGAGCGAACCGGCCATCCCTATGTGGGATCCGAACCCGGGGCCTTGGTGTTATTAGCACCGCACTCTACCGAGTGAGCCACGGGCCGGCCCACAGCAAGACTTTTTCAATGAAGGAAGCACTGTGTTGATTTACACTCTGGCATAATTTCTTTACCTCCTCCAGACCTGCACTTTGGGTAGTAGCTACTGTCTTAAAGCAAATGATCAAGAATTTGTCAATGGTATACACCTAGGAGTGGAGTTGCTTAGTTCTAGAATATGTAACGCGCACAGTTATTACTCAGAATTGACTGTTAATTTTTGCCAAATTTTCTATTTTGTTTTATCTCATTCTTATAGATCTGTAGGAAGCTATTATTGAGGTATTTCAGCTATAAAATAACATACATGTTTTTGATAAACCTTGGTTTCCACAAAATTGTAAACTAAATACAACAAGGCTTATGGTGAAAAAAATCAGGTTAGAGGCAGACCACTCAACACAATTTTGTAACCAGAACAAAGATGTGTTTATTGAATACTACTTTAAATATAGGATGTTTTTTAAAAACAGTGAAGTCAGCTTCACAGAAAAAAGACTAAGGAAGGATTGAAACTGCTGGATCATGGAGACAAAAACCAGTGTGCAGCACATGAGAACTGTGACACAAGCAGTTCTAAAATGAAGCCCTTGTCCTAACTGAACCACAAGCAAGAGCATGGGGGGATGGGTATTCGTCAAGTGCTGTATTAGCATATATGCTGTGGGGAAAATAGGATAGTTTAGTCAGGCTCCCTGGCTCAGGTCTGGCTGGAGGGTCGAGCAGCACATTTCTTGTAAACAAGTTGTGTGGGTGGAGTTAGTATGCATGTGCACACCCAAGTATCTTTCTAGTTAATTGCTTTTGTGTGTTCTGCAGTTTGTGAAGCAGGCTGGCGCAGAGAGCTCCCATCTAACAACAGAGCATGTTTACTCTGCTGGCAGCTGCTCAGTTTCAGTTTTTCTTTGGACCTTGCTGGTAGTGGTTGAGTTTCTGAGTTTCTCCTTTGTACTGCCTAGCTCCTAGATGTGTATGCTGAATAAAGACTATTCCTTCTTCAACCAAGGCTCCAAGGACCTTTTTGCCGGTTACGTAGCTCACAGACCTGCGTGTGAAGGGTTTGTGAATGGGCTCAAGGGGTCTGTGAGCTCCAGACCCAGCTCTAGCTCCACATATGCTTTCACCTGCTGTTACTTGATGGAGTAGAACATTAATGTGCTGGGAAATATTATGCCTGAACCAATGAGATCACGTCATTATACAGTCATCACTCTTTCATTTACCAATTACAATGAGTTAACTGAATTACAGAAAGTCACTGAAGGAGAACACTGAAAAACACTCTCACAGTCTAAGGTCTAGTTTTTCACTTTTTTGCAGTGTTGTAATGCAAATAAGTTTAAGTTTTAATACAGTTAAATTTACCAATTTTTCTTTTAAGTTAGGGGTGGGGGGTTTATTAGACAAAAAATAATTCTTTACTAAGAGGTCAGAAACTTTTCCCTATATTCTTTCCCCCACTTTAGATTTTGAATTTCATAGGCAGTTATTTAGGTATTTAGAATTGATTTTTATTTCAAATGTAAGATAGAAGATTCAGCTGTTTTACCATATCAGTAACCAATGGATCCCAGTATCATTTATTGAACAGTTCATTCTTTGTCTATTACACTGTAGTACAATTTATGAAAAATCAATTTTTTCCTTTTATTCAACGTTTATTTAGCATCTATTATGTGCCAGCACTTCCCAAAACTTAACTAATTCAAACCCTCATAACTCTATGAAGTTGGTGTTACTGATTCATCGTACAGATTGAGAGAAAAACTAAGTAACTTGACAGAGATCCTAGAGAATTAGTAGAGGGGCTGGGATTTAAATCTTGGGAGTCCTGACTCCAGAGCCTATACTCTTTTTTTTTTTTTCCTTTTTGTCTTTTTTCGTGTCCGGCAACGGATCGCAACCCTCGGTGCTGCGCCCGCACCTCGCTCAGCCAGTGAGCGGGAACTGGTCTGTATGTGGGATCCGAACCCTCGGCGGGAGCGCCGCCGCGCTCCCAAGCGGAGCGCACTGTAGCAGTGCGCCACCGGGCCGGCCCAGAGCCTATACTCTTTTTTTTTTTTTTTTCCTTTTTGTCTTTTTTCGTGTCCGGCAACGGATCGCAACCCTCGGTGCTGCGCCCGCACCTCGCTCAGCCAGTGAGCGGGAACTGGTCTGTATGTGGGATCCGAACCCTCGGCGGGAGCGCCGCCGCGCTCCCAAGCGGAGCGCACTGTAGCAGTGCGCCACCGGGCCGGCCCAGAGCCTATACTCTTAACCTCCATGCTATATGATGTCTTTCCACGTGGGCATGAATGTTGATGGATTCCACTGTGTTGCATTGGCTCACCTGTGCCATTTCCACACTGCCTTAATTAATATAGTCTTACAGTAAACTTGTACAGGACAAGTCCCATCAACACAGTGCTGTTCTTCATGAGTGTCTTGACTATCTTTCACCCTTCATTCTTTGGTCCATGTGTATTTTTAGAATCAACTTGTCAAGTTACATTAAAAAAAAAAGTTGACATTTGACTGAGGTAGTATTAACTATACAGATCTGGGGTGAAATTAAATCTTTGACACTGAGTCTTCCTATCTACAGTGTGATATACCTTCTCCACATTTATTTTAGATTCCTATAAAATTTTTCAGTAGAGTTTTAAAATTTCTCTAAAGGAAAGTCTTGCATACCTTTTGTAGAATTTATTCCTAATGTATCTTACAGACCTTGTAGTTTTTGTTGCCACTAATTTTCTTACCTTTTGAAAAGTGGTATTTTCTTTTTTCTTAGTGGGATATGAATGCAATTGATTTCCATGTTAATATCATATCTGGCAACCCTGCTTTATAAAATCATTAATTTTAATAATTTATCTAATTTTATTCTTAGCTTTTGTTTTAAAATCATTAATATGAAAATATAGAACTTTACTGAAAGCTTTCTCACATTTATTGAGCTCATGGTCTTTCTCCTTTAATTTTTTAATGTGGTAAATTACATATATAAATTTTTTAATCTTATGATATCTTTGCATTCCTAGCATAAATCCAATTTGGTCATGAAGCATTATTTTAGATATATATCATTGAATTTGGTTTTCTAATATGTTTTTGAATTTTTGCATGTATGTTCATAAATGTGAGTGCCTTCTAATTTGCTTTCTTGTACTGTCTTTGAGTTTGGGATCAGTTTATACCGTTCTCATAAAATAAATAAGGGATCCTTCCATCTTTTTCAACTTTGGGGAAGAATTTAAGATTGATAACATGGTGTTCTTTGGATATCCTGTAGAACTCATCAAACTGTCTCTGCAGGCCTGTTTTTCAGGGTTTTCTTTTCTTTTCTTTCTTTCTTTTTTTACATTGTTTTGCAGGTTTAAGTCTTAACTGCTTATAATAGTTATTAGTTGATTCAAGTTTTCTATTTCTTTTTGATTTTTTTTTTGGTGGCTTGTCAGTTCATGGATCTGAACTCTTGACCTTGGTGTTATAACACTGTGCTCTACCCAACTGAGCTAACCAGCCAGCCCTCTTTTTGAATCATCTTTGACAAAATTATACTTTTAAGGAAACTGTCCATTTTGTTTAAATTTTTAAATTCAAGAGTATAATGTTTTCACAGAATTTTCCAATTATTTTAAATTTCTGCTGTGTCTGAAGTCATGTGTCTCTTTTTATTCCTCTACTGCTTATTTTTTCCTTCTAGAAATAATCCAGTTATTAGTCTTTTCAGAGAACCAACTTTTGCCTTTGTTGGTTTCTACTATAGTGTGTCATTTTTTCACTTCATTATTTTCTTCTCTGGTCTTTATGTTTTTCTTTCTATTTCCTTTGTGTTTATTCTGCTGTTCCTTTTCTAATTTCTTAAGAAACTTGGCTTATTGATTTCTAGCCTTTCTTTCCATTCTAACACCAGCCTTTCAAGGAAGTTTTGACCTGTTTACTCTATGTACATGTCAAAAACTTCTCATTATTATTCAGTTCCAAGTATTTTGTAAGGTCCATTATGATTTCTTTGATCCACAAGTTATTTAGAAGTATATGTGAAGATTATTTATCTTTTTATTACTGATGTCTAAGAGTGATCAGAGAACAGCGTTCTGTATGGTACCAATTCTTTATAGTTTGCTGAGACTTTCTTTATGGGGTAGAATATGATCAATTTCTATAATACTCCATGTGTGCTTGAAAAGAAAATTTATTCTCTAATTGCTGGGTGCAGATACACACACACATAGCCATGAGATCAAACTTGTTAACTGCACTGCTCAATTTTTCTAGGTCTTGACTGATTTTTTGGGCATGTCTACTTGACTCAATGAGAGGTGTGTTGCAGTTTCCTATTATGATAATAGATTTGTCCATTTCTCCTGACAGTTTTTAAAATATTTTATTTTGAGACTAAGTTATTAAGAACAAAAAATAAAATTTATATATTTTTATCATTATATAATAACTCTATTTATCTCTAATAATGCTTTTTTGCTGTAAAGTTTGCTTTGATATTAGTTTTGTTTTGTCAGTAGTCTTTTAGTTAGTATTTGCTTGAATATAGTTTTCTATGCTTTTACTTTCATATTTTCCTATATCCTTTTAAGTGTGTTGCTTATCAACATATCACAATCTTTCAATCTGTTTTTCAACTAAGTTTGTTCTATATACATTTATTATAATTATTGACATGTTTGATTTGTTTTGACTCCTAATTTTATATTATTTACTCTATTTTCTCTATGCTTTTCCCCACCCCCACACCTTCAAGTAAAATTCTACTTTACTCCTTTCATTGGTTTGAAGGTTATAGTTTTTATTCTTTTTGTAGTTACCTTAATTTTTTTTTAACTTAAAAAATTTCCCTCTATTGTTGAAAGCAAGAAGACCATGTGAGAAAAACTAGATGGGCTTTGGAGTCAAGCAGATTCCAAATCTGCTGGAATCTCAGCTCTCCTATTTACTAGCCATGTAACTGTGGAGAAATTCCCTACTGTCTTTTGGCTTGTTTCCCCAGCTGTAAAATGAAGTGGTTACAAGGCTTACATGAGATAACCTATTTAAGAAGCTATACTTGGGTCAAAGTAAATGCTTAAAAAATGGTAGCCTTTAGGTACAAACAGATGTGGATTCAAGCTTAGTATTGGCAGGGGGAAAAGGCCATTGTTTTTAAAGAAGTGTGTGTGGGGAGGCTTCGATGAAGATTAAACTGAGGCAGGACAGAATAGGGACATACCCTAGGGAGGCTGCTCATAGATATTCAGACTGGATTGGCCCAAGCTGCCTGACTGGCAGTTAATGAACCCATAACCAGCTGGCAGCAGCTTAACCACCCTACCAATCAGCATGCTATACCTGGAACTTTGCGGTTTACCAAAACCACAGCACCTGCACACTAGAAAGAACAAAAATGCAGACAACCACTATACGACCTTCTACCTGTGATGCTAGACTGGAAAGAACAAAGTTAAGGGAAAAGTAACTCCACTGTGCATTACCAAAAACTTCAGAAACTCAGGGGTGCATGACAGGAAACTAATGCAACCTTGCATCAGCCTATTAGGCCTTAATTACCGTAGATCCTCCCCCACGGCCAAATATTCCTCCTCTTAGTTAGGATACAGAAAAAAACCATAAACCCTCTCCTGAAGAATCCAGGGGCATTCCTCACTCCTGAGGTTGCCTGCACACCCTTCTGCACATACTCTTTCACTTTACAATAAAGCCCTATTATTTGAATGTTCCATCTGTCAGTCCCTCTTCCTTTTTTCACTGAACAGGTAGTCACTGCTTTGAGGATTTCCCTAGGTCCCATAAAAGGTTCTCCTTCACAGTTTGACCAAGAACCTGGAACTGCCGTCCAGTAACATAATTACAATGTTTGGAAATGTGAGAACAATATTCTATTCTAATATCAACCTGATTAACATAAAAATAAACTTACCCTTTATGATATATGCATAGACAAGGCAGTCGTGCTATAGTATCTCCCTGCTGCAATTCTTCAAGGCATATTGCACATTCCCCAGCGTCTTTACTCAGTACGTCCTCTGAAGAAAGAAAAAATGAATTCAGGACAATAAAACCATCCATCAAATTGAAAAAAAGAATGTGAATGGTAATTTATAAAGAGTAGTGCTTCTACCTAACTTGGCATATCTTTTTGTCAGAAATACATAAAACTCAGCATCCATATTTGAAACACTATTCATAAATGAGTGAATAATGTTTACCTTTATTTATAGACATTGTTTCACATTTCCATTTCCATTTTATGGAGGTATTACAGTAAGCAAGACCAGAATAGAATCCCCCAACCTGCCAAGGACTTTACTCTAAAACTTTCAGTAAGTTAGTAGTTTGTAATTTGAAATTCATTTTCCTTCTACTGATCAATATTACTTTGATCCCCAAGATGGTTCAAAAAAGTTTAGAGTGTAATATGGCTGAAAAGACATGAAAATAAAATACTATTATAATTTTTAAAATTCTAAAAAAACCAAAATTGGATAAGCTAAAGAAATCACCCTGAATATGGGACTTTTAACAGCTGCTTAACTCAAGAAAATACAGAGGAAGATCAAAGCTTTTGTGTAGATTCTGAAAAGACTTTTGGAAACTTGAGGATTTCATACATTGGATGCAGCAATTCTTTATAATTTTTCCATGACAATGGCAAGCCTACTCCAGGCAGCAATTAGAGTGGCTTTCAAAAGGACCTGCAGGGTACTTAAAAAAAAACCATAGTATATTAAAAATACTCCAAGGATAAGTCTCTTCATAAAGCAAATGTTCCTTTTGAGAAAAAAAAAAAATTCTCTCAATTCATGCTTTATACTGAAAATTTAAATTATATTTTAATGTTACCATAGTATATTAAAAATACTCCAAGGATAAGTCTCTTCATAAAGCAAATGTTCCTTTTGAGAAAAAAAAAAAATTCGGGGCCGGCCCGGTGGCGCACTGGATGGTGCGCCGCTTGGGAAGCGCGGCGGCGCTCCCGTCCGAGGGTTCGGATCCCACATACAGACTAGGTTTTAATTTTTAAAAGGATTTGCCTAAAATAAAGGATGTTAGCCACATAAGCTTGGTGATTCTTTTTAAATGCAGAATAACTAAAAATGTCATTACTGGGGCCGGCCCGGTGGCGCACTGGATAGTGCGCCGCTTGGGAAGCGCGGCGGCGC